GTCGCTGTGTCGGCCCTACTGGCCTCGTGGACGGTGGCGTGCCCAATGCCACCGTCCGTTGTCAGTTTTTGGGGGTTTCGGTCCCTAGCATCTCCTTCGATGCCGCTGCTGCCGTTGTCGTCGTGCTGGTTCACGGGGGGATGTTCCTCTCGTCTGCTGTGCCCACTGCGCCCTGTCCGTTGTCCGCGGCGAAGCGTATTGAGTGTCGTGGTGCTGATTGAGGCCGGCTTAGTTCCGCACGTTTGCGGTGAATGCGGACTTCGTCTGATGGGTGGTCAGGTGATCTCGGAGGCAGTGAGGTTGCTCTCTTCGGTGGTGTGCCGATGTGGAATGTGGGTGCTGGTCGGAAGTCGATGGGTGGCATGCATTCCGTTGGTGATATGGTTGCTCCTCTTGGCGGTGTACATGGAGTCGTATCAGCTCCTCCCTCAGGTTGATCTCGCGATTCATGTTCGTCTGCTATCGGCGTCAGGGCGTCGTTCCCTTTGAAGTCGCACGGTGGGACCTGAGGTAGTATAGGTTTTTCCTCCTGCTTCTGTCGTGGCGTCGAAGTCCATTCATCCTCCAGTATGGTGTCTGGGGTTCATCTTCAGATGTCGTTTTCGCGATGTTGAGGATGTCCTTCTCCCGTTGATAGTCGCCCCGTTGGGTCTGGGTGCCGTGGTCTTCGATGTCGGAGATCTCGGAATCAGGGATGACAATGAGTTGAGTTTCTTGGTCAATTTGTTGTGGTCCTGTTCCTTGTGGCGCCTGACGGGATCTGTCGATTGGCTGAATGTCGTCATTATTGAGTTGGTTGGCGAAGTCATTTGCGAAGTCTGCTTCCCGCTCCTTCATCATGGCGTGGATCTCGGAGTGGGCGCCCTCAAGCTGTCTAGCTCGCTGCTGCATTTGTGTTTCAGCGGCCTGTTGCTTATTGTGTAGCTGTTGGAGAAGCTGCTCTTGCGTCTCTATGGGGGTCTTCGCTGCTACAAGCTGGTGTTCATCGTGTTGTATGAGCTCCGCTTGTAGCTCCGCTGTCACCGCGTAATAAGCTTCTTTGTCTGGTGGAGCTGGGTGATGTAGTTTTGCATGTCCTCCGTTCGTCCCTCCAGTGCGTGGATGGTCCCGGTCTTATTTCGGTAATGCTTCTCTTCGATGTGCATGGTCCGGTTTGCTTTTGTCCGTAGATCTCGTTCTCGAGGTGCTTAACCCTTTGATCGGAGATGTTGCTGTTGTACTGGCTGTGCTCGCGCGCCTTGTTCTCGATGTTGACGTTCTTGGCTTCCGCTGCTGCGAGTTATTGTCGAAGTTGCTGGTGTGAGCGCTGCTGATCGTGATATTGATAGGCTGCGCTTCTGGTCTGTTGGAGGTCGTTGATGATGATCTGTTGCTGGTTCTCCAGGTGCTGCAAGGTTTCGTCCTTCTCCTCTAAGCTCTTCTCGAGTTTGTTGTACTTGATAAGCGTATCTGGGACTCGTGGCTGCCGAGGCTGACGTATTTGTTGTCGTGCTTCTTCGAGGGCTCTTTGCAGATACTCACTGGTAGTGGCTGTCTCCTCGTAGTTCTCGTAGTTTTCGGTTCTGGTCGATGGTCTGGTGCATGATGTTATTGGCTTCGCGGAGCTCGTTCTTGAGGTTCTCGATAGCGTTGGTATCCTTCTCAGTCTTGTGGGCGCTGTGCTCTACGATCTTCTCGGTGGCGTTCCTGGTGGTCTGTCTATCTTTCTTGTGCTCCTCCATCTGGTCATTCTCGTAGCGTTGTATCCTGCGGTAGTTGTCCTTCTCGTTCTTGTGTAGGACTCTCTGACGTCTTCGAGCTGGTTGATGACTGCTTTTTGGTGTGCAGCCTGGCTTCGCTGTCATTCGGCTTTCTGCTGTGCTTCTTCTTGTAGTTCTGGTCGTAGTTTGTTAGCGATGGAGGGCTCCGAGGATGTATGAGTCGCTGAAGGTGCTGGCGACATGTTGCCGATATGTCCTCGGTGACGTCTTCCGATGTTGGGTGCAGGCGTATCCGAACGTTGTGGTTTTGTTCGTCTCTTCGGCGTTGTTGCTGACTCGGCATCCGCATCGCCGTCGGAGTCTGCCCCCCTTTATACTGTTGTGAAGTCGTCGTAGTTGGCGATGTCGGTCACCCAGGACTGTAGCCTTTTGCTGGAGCTCCTCCAGCTGTTGTTGTGCGTCGTCCATCTGTGTGACTGTGTCGTTGATCATGTTCTCGACTTCTCTTCGCTGGTCCTTGCTGTTGAATGAATATAGAAGCATGGACTTCTGTAGTCGGATCTTGGTGACAACATCTTCGCAGTCGTAGTCGTCGTTGGTGTGCCTCTGAGTGGTTGTGATGAGGTAGTCACTGTCGGACTTGCAGTTCTTGCGGTACTCCTTGGCTCTGTCGAAGCGGTGCATTGGTGGCGGCTCGTTCCAATGTTGCTGTCTTCTGGCTTCGGTCAGGGTCATGGGAACGGTGTTCGCAGCTGTCTCTTTTCTCTTCTCTTGCCTGCGTTGCACTTGGAGGCTGTGCTGTTGTTGCTTCTGTGTATTCTGCTGGTGCTGCTGTCCCACGGAGCTGCTGCTGCCCGTGCCGCGGGTGTCGTCACGGCTGCGGGCGCGCCACTGTGCTCGAGGGGCTCGTGTGGCGTCTCCTTTGTGTTGCTGGTGTCGGTGCTGGTACTGCTGTTGGTGCCACTGCTTGTCGTGGTAGCTGCCAACTGGTGTCTGTGCCATCTTGGGCGCCATGGTGGCGTCTGGTAGTCGTGCTGGCTGCTGAGAGCTGTGGTGGGTGGAGAGTCGTTGTCTTGCTCGGTCGAGTCTAAGGAGCACACGAACGTCGGCACGCTCGCGGCGTAGGCGACGGTGCTGGGCAGGCGACCGTGGCCGTAAGGAGGTCCTCTGGAGTGAGGACGTTGTGACCTCGTAGTTCAGGTGGATGGGGAAGTACTGGGAGAACTTGCGCAGGACAGTATTGCTGTTCAGGTGCAGGGGGAACTTGATGACCCGAGTGCTGTGGATGAAGTACGGCAGGTATACAGTGTAGTTGTTCGCGGGCGTATGGCGCCGCGCTGGGCGCTGCCCGGCCGTGGCGGGGGGAGCGCTCCGTCCCTCCCTGCGACCTCGGCCAAACGCCTAGTAGGGGAACCAACAATGCCATACACATAAAAACTCGGAGGTCCGCGCGGATTTCTCATCCTCCTCTTCCTTCCTCCTCCTCCTCCTCCTCCTCCTCCTCCTCCTCCTCCTCCTCCTCCTCCTCCTCCTCCTCCTCCTCCTCCTCCCTGGTGCAGCACCCGCGCGGCGCCCTGGGGGAACTTGAGCCTGCATAAATCTACCCCTCGTTGGGGGGGTAGTGGGTGCTGTTCGCTGAACGGCCCGGGTTCGCCGCCCGGGCGCCAGTCTCAGCACTCGGGCCACCCCGCACCCAGGGAGGTCGGGGGAGGCTCATGGCGCGTGCCACCTGGTCACCCTTGGGCAAGGGGACTTGTGGGGGTGGTCCTGGGCACCACTAAGTCTCGCGCCAGGGGACCCACCTGGCGGCCGAGGGTGTTCCAGAGTCCCGACCTGCAGAGCAGGCGGAGGCTTGGGCGGAGGTGGTGGCATGGCTCGGCGCAAGGGCGCCGACCTGAGGCGGCCAGAGGACCGTCCTGTGGCTGAGCTGTGAGGCGACGTAAGACTTAGCATCTGTATTTTTCTGCTGGGGGCGGCAAGGCCCGCCGTAGGTTCCCCCAGAGAGAAGCGGCGCGTGCTGAGGCCGCTGGCCCACCTCGCCTCGGGCGCGCCGCCGCGCGCATGGCGAGGCGCCGAGACCAGGGGCATTCACTCGTGCGCGCGTGCACGCGGGTTTAAAAACTCCTCCTCCTCCTCCTCCTCCTCCTCCTCCTCCTCCTCCTCCTCCTCCTCCTCCTCCTCCTCCTCCTCCTCCTCCTCCGTCCTCCTCCCCATCCTTTTCCTCCTTCTCCTCCTCTTCCTCCTCCTCCTCCTCTTCCTCCAGACTTGCGTGAGGGTCGCCGCCTCTGCACGCGTGTGCAGCGAGTGCGCAGCCGCCGCGGCACACACGAGGCGCGTGGCAGCACGCCTCCTGCTTGTGCCTTCGCTCTAGGGCCGCCCACCGATTTTGGATCAGGGGCGCTTTCCTGACTCGAGTCCCAGTCCCTCCTCCTCCCCCGCCTCCTCCTCCTCCTCCTCCTCCTCCTCCTCCTCATCATCATCATCATCATCATCATCAGCCTCCTCCTCCTCCTCCTCCTCCTCCCCGCGCGGGGGCCGTGCGGGTTCCAGCCAGTGTACATCACCGATGCCTGTCTTTGTTAGCCTTTTTTCTGGCGACAGCGGTGTGAACATATGCAGGCCCACCTCGTAGATGGTGCTCTCGACGATTCCTCTTAACTGCCCTACCGAAAGCACGGCGGCTGTACCGCCTCCGCCAGTTGACGCGTGGCAGCATCTCCGACGACGGGCGCAATTGACACACCTCCTCCTCGGCGACTTCCAGGCCATTGTCCTGCGTGATGAACGGAAGGAACGGCCAGAATTACGAAAGGCTGGAACCTTATGGTTCGAGTCGGACCAGTTCTGGTCCTAAGCGGAAGTGAAGTTAGTGTCATTCGTCGTGAACGTTTTTTTTTCGATGGATGCAGCACGCTCGTGTATGATGGCGATTGCGAACAAAGCATGGGGGTGAATTGCCAGCAACATATGCTTGCGCCGCTGGAAGGGTTTTGGAGAGGCGACGACGACGGCGCCATCGCCCATGGCGCTGCTGCGTCACGTTCCCCCGGGCACTTCTGAATCGCCATCCTACATTACGGCGAACGATCTGGATCGTAGGGTTCTTCAGCAGACAGGTTCCCCGCCTGCGCCGAGGCTTAGAACGGCACGACTGCCTGCACAGTGAAGGTCAGCGTTATGTTGAGCTCGTTTTCTGTGTGGATGCTTGTTTTCCACATCGTCGCACATTGGACACTTCTTTGATCATCAACTATTCATTTGCCTCCTCATCCTCCGCCTCATCATCTCAATCCGTTAGAGGACATCTCCTACGAGAACCTGGACAACAACGACATCGCCGCGAAGTGGTACCAGACGCAGCCCCCCGCTGAGGGGGTCCCGCGCCGAGGTTCCCTCCTGGGCTTGCGAGCGCCTCAAGACGGCCCCGATCCTTCGATCGGGGATCGAACTTTCGAGCAGACGACAGCCGTCTACAAGAGCAATACGTCGTAGACGGTCGACGGTCCAGGATCGACCTGAAAAAATAAAAAGCGGTCGGCGGTTTACGAAAGCAGTGCGACTGACTTTCGTCGTCGTCGTCGTCGTCGGCGGTCCAGGATCGGGTGTCTGGGGGCGCTGCTGCCAGGCAGTCCGAGCATGAGCAGACATCGCTCCGGAGCGTCCAGAGCATTCCGAAACGCTCTGAAGCGGCCACAGCGAGGGTCTTCGGCGCCCGATGCGACCTTCGCCGTCGTCGTCGGCGGTCCAGGACGAGGAGGAGGAGGAGCTAAAGGAGGGGTAAGAGGAGGAGGGGGAGGAGGAGGAGGAGCAGGAGGAGGAGGAGGAGGAGGAGGAGGAGGAGGCCGGGGGCGCCTCTGTCAGGCAGGCCGGGGCTGAGGACACATCGCCCCCGGGCGATGGCGCTCCCGGAGCGTTGGAGAGCGCTCCGAGCCGGCCGCGCGCGGGGCGAAGGACCGCGGCGCCCGACGCGTCCTCCAGAGCCCGCCAGTCTCTCAGAGGGTCCCGGGTTTGCCCTCGCACGAGCTCGTCCCCGTCAATCGAAGGAGAACCCCCCTGCTTGCCTCCAGGGTGCCCTGGGTTTCTTGGGTTTCGACGGTTTTGCGATGGAAGGCGCGACGGTCCCACACCAAAAACCAATGGACGTCCTGGGGTCCCAGGGTTGGGTTTCTTGTGGATGGTTTCTTGTGTGTGGACTGGCCTCCACTGTAATCGGCAGATGAGGGTGATGACTAGGGGGGGATATCATGGCGGGGGCCATGATATCTCCCCAGATCTCATGGCGCCCTTTGTTATTTCAATGCGTCCCCGCCCACCCACCCTGGGCCGCGCACGCGCCGCCGGCCATGATTTGCGCCCTCTGGACGTCCCCCTCTTTGCCACCCGCGAAAAATTATAAGCATCAACGTTCGGAGCTCTGCGCGGATTTCTTGGATCTGCGTTGGGCGCCCCTGGCGGCGCCTCTGGCGCCGCTCCTGACGCGCTCCTGGCGCCGGCCAGGGAGGGGGAACTGGCGCCGATACAAGAAATTCGCGCGGACTTCCGAATGAGCATGTTTTTTAACCGTCTTGTTTCTCCAGTTTTGCCCTCGTCCAGGCCTCGGAATATTTGGTTCACGCTTCGCGTATCCTCACCAGCCGCCCACTCCTGACAGGTCCGGACGCTCCTGTCCATGAGCACCCCTTGAGTCCCTGTGAGCGAGGCCACCTTCTTTTCCCCCTCCCCTCGCCGCTGCCTCCTCTCTGCTTTCCTCGGCCTCTTCCTCTTGTTCCTTTCGGTGCGGTCCCCCGGCCACTCCGCGCTGTCTCATTCGCACTGCACGGTCTGGTTGGAGCCTGGCGCCACGCGTGCGACTGCTCCACACGCATCGTGTTTGGTGCTCGCGTCCCGGCTTGGGGTCGCCTGCATCTCTAATGAGGGTCATTTTGTCCCTTGCCCTTGCATGCACTTGCTGCGTCGGCCTATGCGCCGTCGTTGCCAATTATCTCGCCCTGTGCCCCAGCTGAGACCGTCCCGCTTCTTGGATCTGTCCTTGGAGCCGTCAATCAAAAAAAAAGTATCCTCACCAGCCCACTCAGAAACCTTGCCAATGACGAAGAGACACACATAATGAAACAAAGCGGGCAACCAGCATGAACAGAGAGATTTCTGGGAGCAAGGGGGTGGCCTCGGAGGAGGGTCTGTTCGGGCCATCCCTGGGGCCCGCGGGGGGCGAGGGGAGGGGGAGAAGAAGTAGGAGAAGGAGGAGGAGGAGGAGGAGGAGGAGGAGGAGGCAAACCGCCTCTTGGGGCCCTCGCGGGACGCTCTCGACGCTCTTGGGGCCGTCTCGGGGCCGTCTTCTTGAGGCCCTCTTGGAGTTCTCTTGGGACCCTCTTGGGGGCCTCTTGGGAGCCCTGGATGGCCTCTCGAGGCCATCTTGGAGGCTATCGATCAAAGGAGGGGGGGTCCTGAATTTGCATCCTCCCTCTGGGGCCCTCAGAATCGCCTCTTGGTGCGCTCTTGCGCGCTCTTTGAGCCGCCCAGGGGAGCCTATTGGCCCCTCTTGCGCGACTCTCTCGGGCCATCTTGGGGCCATCTTGACGCTTCAGAAGCGATTCGGAAGCGAGAAGGTGAGAAGGCAAACATCAGTGATCCTCTTTGGTGTTTGATGGATTTGGGCATCTTGGGGTGATCCTGGAGGGCTCCGAAAGCACTTGGAACCGTCTTGTGGCTCTCCTGGGGCTTCTTGGAGGTAGAAATGTTGAGCCATATTCGGCTATCTATCTTGGAGGCCATGTTGGAGCATCGGAGGCCCTGTAGGAATTATCTTGGGCGACGAATGACCCTCTGACACATCGCAGACCCCCCAAAAGCAAGAGGGAGGAGAGGGGGAGGGTACCCCTCCCCGAAGAGAAGAAGGGCTTTGGACGAGGCAATCCATATATAGTTAGACCACCTACGCACGGAGGGCTGGTGGGATTAGCGAACACTCATGCCACATTCATCTGCCAGTGCCTCCCCCCAATGAAGAGTGTTGGCGGAGGGCTAGATGAGGTCACTTCGACCGCAGTCTTCCCGCGCGTGCCAACTTGGAATTTTGGGGAGAGGGGAGTTTCTACTAATCACTCGGAGGCGAGCCCCGGGAGAAGTGAGAAAGACCTGGCCTTCTCAGAAGGCTTGGAAGTCCCCTGGCCTTCCGAGACGTTTTTTCTTCTCTCTATATATTTAGATATGTATACGTGCATACATATCTATATATACATATATACATACATACATATACATTATAACTATATATGTATGTGTACAAACGTTCCCCGAAGACACTGATGGTTTTTCAGAGGGCGCGAGGGGTGCTGAGAAGTCCTGCCGCCTTCCGAGAGGGCCTTCTCCCTCTCCCTTCTTCCCCACGCTCGCCGCCGATGGACATCCCAGCAGCCCACAGAAGTGGCGACAGTCGCCCAGGGAGCGCGAAGGCAGGCGGGAAACGGGAGGCGGGAGGACAGACGGCGGAGGAGGAGGAGGAGGAGGAGCTGGAGGAGGAGGAGGCGGAGGAGGAGAAGGAGGAGGAGGAGGAGGAGGAGTCTTAGCGCATCATGGCATGCTCGGGGTGGCTGTTGGGCGCCTCTTGGGGCAATGTTGCCTCGCGGCCGCGCCCTCGCCCCGCGCGCTGAGCGCAGCGGTCGTCTCCCCCTTCGTCCTCGTCCTATTCCTCCTTCTCCCCCTGTCTTCTTGTCTCCTTTCTCTTCTCGTCCTCGTCCTCGACCTCTTCTTTCCTCGTCCTCGTCCTCGTCCCCTTTCTTCTTGCCTTTTCTCTGCGCTGCAGCGCTGCCGCCTAGCGCGCGCCCGCTCGCGAAGGCGGCCGGGCGCGGCCATCCAGCTATTCGGAGCCCCCGCACGCAAGGGCATGTGAGGCAAGCAGCATGTTGGCGGACTCCTGTGCCCAACCGCCAGATCTAGACCAGGTCAGCCAGCTTCCATCGGGAGCCGTGGGGGCGGGGGTCCATGCAAACGGGGGTCCGACAGAGCGCCGGATCTTGCAGGACACTGCAGAGCCAGGGGTGCACTGACCCGGGGCTTGCGCGCAGGATCCCGCAGTATCTTGCAGGTTCTTGCAGGATTTTGCAAGGCCTGACTGACCGGGGTGTGCACGGACCCCGGTCAGTGCGTCACCGAGTGCAGTGTGTCAAGCAGTGGCGCAGCTCTCCGACATGCCTGAAAGAGCGTATTCTACCGCTGCTGGCGGAAAACCGGGGGGGGTCACTACCGGTTCGAACCCTCCCCCCCCCCCCCCCCCTCCGGAAAACCGGGGGGGGTCACTACCAGTTTCGAACCCCTCCCCCCCCCCCCCCCCCAGCTCATCATGAAAAGGGGGGGGGGTCACTACCGGTTCGAACCCCCCCCCTCCCCCCCCCCCTCGAAAACCGAGTGGGGGTGCGGACAGTGGTGGGGACGGTGTTGGTGGGGACAGTGGTGAGGGGACAGCGGGACAGTGGTGGGGACAGTGGGGGGACAGTGGGACAGTGGTGGGGACGGTAGTGGTGGGGACAGTGGTGGGGACAATGGTGGGAACAGGGGGGACAGTGGACAGTGGTGGGAACGGTGGTGGTGGGGACAGTGGTGTGGGGACAGTGGGAATGAGGTGGAAACACTGGGACAGTGGAGGGTACAATGGTGGTGGAGACACTGGTAAAGGCGGTGGCGAGGACGGCGGTGGGACAATGGGACAGAGGTACAGTGGGGACAGTGGTGGGGACAGTGGGGACAGTGGTGGAAACAGTGGGACAGCTCAGTGGGACAGCGGAGGAGTCAGTGGGACAGTGGGGACAATGGGGATAGGCAGTGGTTGGGTCCGTGGAGACAGTGGGGAGAGTGGAACCGTGGTGGGAACAGTTGTGGGAACAGTGGGGACAGTGCGACAGTGGTGGGGGCATTGGGTGGGGACAATAGGGACGGTGGTGGAACCAGTGGGGACAGTGGTGGTGAGGACAGTGGTGCTGGGAACAACAGTGGGGGATGTGATGCGAGCGGTGGTAGGGACCGGGAGTCGTTTGCTGGCGGTGCGTGGGGGGGGGGTCGAACCGGTAGTGACCCCCCTCCGGTTTTCGAGGGGGGGGGGGGTTCCAACCGGTAGTGACCCCCCCCGGTTTTCCGGATCCGGAGGGGGGGGGGGGGGGGGGGGGGGGGGAGTTCGAACCGGTAGTGACCCCCCCCCGGTTTTCGAGGGGGAGGGGGGGGGGGGGGGGGGGAGGGGTTAGGGGAGGGGGGGGTTTTGCCGGGAGTGAGGGGGGGGGGGGTGAGGGGGGGGGGGGAGGGGGGGGGGGGGGGGTGGGGATTTTCGGAGGGGGGGGGAGGGCGACCCCCGGGTTCCAGAGGAAAAGGTTGGCAATTTCCCACAGTAAAGCGGCGGTGGATCACGCTCTCTGCCTAGAGGCCCACCAGACAATGTTCCAAGAACCCTTTTGTGGTTTGCACACATTCCTGGCTGCAGCTCTTAGGGAGTTCCTTCTGTTCTGAGAACAGATCCTAGTAGTCCTATAGGAATGGCGGGACGGTCGGCCCCTGCTCAAGCCGGGTTACGTGCACTTTCCACATCTGGAGGGTACTTACAAGGTCGACCCTGCCAAATCAAGGGTAACTTTGTGTCCTGTATTTCACGCCCCGTGTCCTTCTTGCATTTCTGGGGCAGTGTGGCCCTCGGAAGGGTATTGTGTCCTCTCCTGTGCCATCTCCAATCAAACTCGACTCTTCCCCTTGGTGTTCTTCTTGCTTGGGATGTTTCCCACTTGTAGTGTGATTCGTTCTGGTTATCTCCACGGGACTTCTGCCCCAGAAGTTGGGGCTGACATGACGGGGGCAATCGAAGAACCAACTACACAAGCATGAATGTTCTGAGCGCGCAGGTTTCTTGGATCTGCTCTGGCCCCCACCTGTGGCGGCGTCTCTGGCGCCGCCCCTGGTGCGCGCGCTCTCGTTTTTCTTCTTCCAGGTAGGCGTCTCACGGGGATCAGCCAGTCCCTTCTGGCTGACCCATGCTTGGGAGCCACGTCGGGCCGATCTCCCTCCCCCGCCCTCCTTCCGCTGACCCGGGCTTGGGAGCAGCTCCGCGGCTGACCTGGTATCACGACATGCCCATGGCTGACCCGGGTCAGCGCCGGCCCAGGTTGGTTGTGTTGCATCTTCGGGGGTGGCGGTGCCTTGCCTGTGTTGCAGATTGCCTCAGGTCCAACGCGGTCTCGAGTCGGATCCGACGTGAATGTGATGTCAGTTCGACGCGGGTTCGATTTGTTCGGCGTGGATTCGGCGAGGGCATTTGGCGCGATGGCACAGAGAAGGTCGCCCGAACATGCGACAGAAGGTTTGCGCGTCCCCGCTGTCGCCTCTGGGGGTGTGATACGACAGCGCGAGAGCGCGCCAACATAACGGTAAGCACGAAGCGACCAAACAACAGGCAACCAGCAAGCCAGCGCGTCGCGCGGCGCCAAGCGCGAAGTGAAGCAGGCGGCCCATCCGACCCGCCGATCGGCCGCTCGATCGGCGCATCGGATGGGCCTCCGAACGATCGGCCGATCAGTCGGCGATCGGCGCGATCCATCGCCCGATCGATCGGCCGATTGATCGCGCACACCGAGCAGTGGGGCGCTCCGCCGATCGATCGGCCAGCCGGGCGATCGGCCAGCTGGCCAGCCAGAAGCTCCCGGCCAAGCGGGGGGCGGCAGCGCGTCGCTCGGCGCGAAGCGCGGAGTGAAGCGGGCGGCCCCAAGAGCAGCGGGCTATCCGCCGACCGGCTGGCAGCCCCCAGACCCGTGCGGCCCGCGGCGGCCCCGGGAGGGGCAGTCTAGGCCTCCCAGGTGGGGTCCGGGTAGGCGGGGTCGGAGGATCGCGCCGCATCGCCGATGCATCGGCGATGCGGCTCCATGCGGAGCCCGAATTTTCCCACACCGATGGCGCCGATGCATCGCCGATGCATCGCCGACGCATCGCCGATGTATCGGCGATGAGGCGCGATTCTCCGACCCAATCTACTCCGACCCCGTCCAGGAGGCCTCGAGGCAGGCGGCCGCGGGTCGCCGAGCGGGCGAGGTCTCGACGAGGGGCCCCCAGGCAGACTCGGCGAGGTCTCGGCGAGGTCTCGGCGAGAGGGCGTCGTGACAAACAAGAAAAGGCAGGGCGGAGGTGTTTTGCACCATCCTCGGCCTCCGGAGGCCCTCGCTGGGCCGCGGGAGCGTCAAGAACCACTCGGGATGAAAGCCCCGCCCTGGGGAAAGGGCCGGGGCTTCCCGGGGCCGCGTGCGGAACAACTGAAGACATCGCACGCCTGGGGCCGCGGCACCGAGCGGGTGAGGTCTCGGCGGGGGGGCGTGCGGCACTGCTGCCTCGGCTCCCTCCCCTGGCTGCTCCCGGCTGCTCCTCCACGACCAGGGAGAACTTGGGACGACGGGCAGAAAGGGGGGAGCGGGTGAGGAATGGCGGGCGGCGTCGCGGGCCCATGCCCTCGGCCGCCCTGGCAAAAGAAACATGGCGGAAGTGTGTCGTCGCTCTCGGCGCCCGGAATTACCAGCCTGCAGCATCATCCTTACCCCTCTTCCTCTGCCTCGCCTCTCCCTCTTCCTCTTCCAGCATCATTATTACCCCTATGACTGGCATCACCGTGTCTCGACGCTGATCTTCAAAATTTCGTTGGTTTCTGAGGGCGCATCCCTAAGATTCTCATAGCCCTTGGGATCGACAGTCTGCGGGGTAGGGGTAAGATCGAGGCTGGTTTCAGGAGGCTTGTTTCGGGCCCCGCGGGCGCTAAGAGTCCAAGATGCAAAGGCGGTCCTCGCGCAAGGTTCGAGATGTCTGCGGGCCACGTATTGGTAAAACATGACGATGTCGGATGTCTGCGGAGGGACTTTGACTTGCTCCCCGACTTGCTGTGCCTCTTCTGTGACGGTCTGGCGCCCCTCCTATCGCGACTCATTCGAGCCTGGGCTGCAGACTGCTGACAATGGCCTTCACGGTCGGAATTTGCCCCCCCCCCCCCCCCCCCCCCCGCTCCTCTCCTCCGCGGCCGCCCTGCTCTTCGTTTTGCCGCTTGTTGCCCGGCTGGATTCGCCGCTCAGCGCCCCCGAGCCGCTCGACCGACCCGCGCGTTTGCCAGGTCTGCGACCTATAGTGTTCCGGGAGGGAGGGGGTGGCGCAGGGATGTGATGATGCAGCTCCTGGGGGGCTGAATCAAGCATTGACCCTGGTAACGCCTTGGTGCCAGGCTGGCTTACTTGGCCCCGAGGCAGGTCAATGTTGCCTGAACGTACGCCAAGGCATGGGGCAAGCCCGCTGAATGAGCGATTCGCCATGAGACATCCCGCTAAGCTTCCCCCGCGACGACCTCACAGGAGCTGCCGCTTCAGAGCAAGCATGGGAAGGAGGGAGGATCGAGTGGATCCGCGGTCGGCGAGCTCCTGGCGTTCGAGGGCGGACTGGGCCGGCCCGATCGGAGTCGGGGTCGGGCGCCAGATCGGCCCGCCGAGTCGGGGCGGGGCTGTGCGATAAGGTGAGTGCCGCGCTGCCGCGCCCCCTGGGCAGCCGCCAAAGACAGTCGAATCGCCAAAGGAGGGAATGGGTCTTGAGGGAAACGGGTCCTACGACCAGCTCTTCATCCTGAGGGTTGTTTTTTTGGGACGCTCTCTGAGGCCCGGGGAAGGCCTCGGGAGCCCGAAACCTACCCAAAACCTTCGCCCCGGGTTTTGGTCATGACGTTTCCCTCAGGACCCGCTCCCTTCACGCGAGATGGGGGAGTGGAGCTGTGCCCAAAAGCACGGGCTCTCCACTGTCGGAGGTCCGCGCCGATTTCTGTCGGTCGGCGCTGGGCTCCCCCGCCCCTCGCGCGCGGAGGCGCCGCCAGAGGGGGGGCCCAAACCCCAACCAAAGATATATATGAATATATATATATATATATATATATATATATATCTCCGCGCGGGCCTTCGAGGGGGTCAGTCTTTTGGGCACGTGTTCGCTCTTCCGCGAGATGAGCCCTCCCTTTTTAGCAGGAGCGCAAAAACCTCACCAGCTACCAGCAGTTGTGCCCTCCCTGCCGCGAGGCTTTCTGCTTTTTCATTCGAATGTCCCCGCGTAAGCTTTATCAGTGCGTGGCACACATGGGCGTGCCTTTGAGATTTCCACGCGGATATATGTGTCCCTTCCCCGCAGGATCTACATGTTCCCTGGGAGTTCCTCAGCGTGGATATATCTCAGCGTTTTCCACATGATCTGTTCCCTTACTTTCTTCAAGAGCGTGTCTGTTTCCCTTCTACCCGGGAATCTGTCAGAATCCTGCACGCGTGGTTGCTGGTGGTGCTTTTGTTCGCCCTCGACCCTCCCGCTTGTCCTGTCCCTGCAGCAGCGGGAGCACAGAGCGCCGCCTGCGACGGGCCAGCTGCGCAGCAGCTCGCTCCGGGGCTTCGTGCTCCGCCTCTGTCGGCCTCGGGGGGCCTATAGCCGCGGCGCCAACCAGAGTGCCAGCGCGCCCCCAGTCGCCCATGTGGAGTGAGGGGAGGGGGCGAGGAGGGAATGACGAGGGGAGAAAGGGGAGGAGAGGAGAGGAGAGCAGAGGAGAGGAAAAGGTTGGAGGATAGGAGGGGAGGAGTGGCGAGGAGGGGACGGTGAGAGGAGAGGAATGCTGCCTGGCCTTTCAGGCAGCGCACTGTTACAGGGAAGCTGAAAAAGTAGGTGGTGCAGGAGGGGGGGAAATGATCATGATGATAAGGAGGAGGAGGTGGAGGAGAATAGCAGCCAGAAGGAGGCGGAGGGATGAAGGTCTCGGCAGCGCTCACCTCCGAGAGGGAGATTTGAGCGCCACGCTTGAGACGGCCATCTTCAGACTTGCGGTAAGTCAATTGACCTGGTGGTTTTGATCCTTGTGGCACGAGTCCAAGATTTGATGACTCCGAAATGTGTAGATCTAGCGCCTTCAGCACCTGGTAACAACCACAGTGCCCCAAGCAGCCCGGCAAGGGCTGCATACTGAGCCGCGGAACGTGCACGGTGGCAAGAGCTATCTTTCTCAAGCTGCGGTGGCAACGACCGCCTACTGTCAAGTGTCAAATGACGGCTTTTTTCTCTTGCATGTTAAGTGCGAGCTATCCGGCCAACAAAATGTCCCCCCCCCTCATTAGAGCGGCACGTGAGCATCGCTCTTCAGCGGAAGTTCGTGAACACCACCCTGGAAGAAGGCGTACCCCGATATCCGAGTGGCGCGGTGGAAGGGTAGGGGATTTGGCCGAAACATGTGCGGATTTGCACCATATGAAGCAATGCTGTATTTGCAGTCTGATGTAAGGCACCGATTGCTGCCAAAGGTGAAACCTTGGAGTTGTCCAAAATCCTTTTCCTCTTCTGCGAACCATGCCGATATTGAGCTTTTATGCCAGCGCGCGCAAGGATAGATGTGTTTGTGTTCCTGCGAGGATTCTGCACCCCTGATCGGCAGCCACTTCTGTTCCCTACCATACAGACCATCGATTTAGGCCAGTGGAGGTTCACTAGCGAGGATTCCTTGCGCTCGTGCTCGGTCGCACAGTATGAGCCTCCCGTGGTGAAGCTCCACTGGCCCAAATCAATTGGCTGTGGGGTACCAGGATGTCTTGGCGCCCGGGTCCTGGGGCGTCTTGAAGCATTGGTTCATCGCTTCGCCCATTCTTCCAGTCCAGACTATTCCATCGCGGACGTTTGCCCGAGTGGTTGTTGCTATTGCGGCGCTGATGGGTAGAGGTAGTCCCTTTGCAGCGTGAGCAGTTGTGGGCGTCTCGGGGCAGTGGTCTCGAAATGGCTGCTCGTGTTCTCCCTCTTGGGCCCCTCTTGTGCAGGAAGTGGCAGAGGGGTCGTACGAGGAAGTGGACGTGGAGAAGGAAGGAGGACGAGGGGGAAGAGAGGAGGACGATAGGAGGAACAGAAGGATGCGGAGGGAAGAAGAGGATGAGAAGGTTAGGGGTGGAGGAACTGGACGAAGGGTTACAGGAAAGGGAGGAGGAGGTGGAGGGAGAGGAGGAGGATGAGGAGGCGGAGAAGGAGAAGGGAGAGTGATAAGGAAGGCGAAGGAGGAGGTAGTGCAAAAGTTGCAGATGCGGAGCAGAGGACGGTGATGATGACGATGGTGGTGATGGTGATAGTTCTGACGATGACGATGGCGATGATGATGACGATGACGATGACGATGATACTGGTGATGCTTTTGTTATTGATGGTGATGATGATGACGATGATGACGATGATGATGATGATGGTGATGATGGTTGTAATAATGACAATGACGATGGTGATGATGATGGTGATGGTGATGGTGTTTGTTATGGTGATGGTGATGGTGATGCTGGTGGTAATGGTGATGATGAGGAGGAAGGGGGGAGGAGGAGAAGGAGGACCAAGACTGAGGCATCGAGGAGGAGGAGGAGGAGAAGGAGGAGGAGGAGGAGGAGGAGGAGGAGGAGGAGGAGCCGTGCACCGCCCCTCACTCTACGCAACGCCCAGATTCTCGGTGTCAGGAGGCCGTCCCTGAGCCCTGGGGCCAGGGGGCACCGATTCGGCGCGGGAAGCTGGTCCCCGGCGGGGGTCGCGGGCTCTCGGGGGCCCACAGGCTCAAGTCATGTAGCCGTGGGGGGTCAGGAGAAGAGTGTTTTTTTTTTTAATAGCTTGGGACATAATGGTCATTATAGCCCCCGGTCCTCCCTCCCCCCCTATAACGTAGCGCCCCTCCCCCCCTAGTGCGCTCTGGGCACTGCCACCGTGCGCACGGTGGGGGGGAGGCGTTATATTATACCCCTCCCCTGGCACCCCCCCTATGATGCCCATTATCGCCGAAAATAAAGAAACGCGCGAGAAGCTGCCGCCTGGAAGGTCGCCGTAGAACTTGAGGACTGCAGCCAGGGGTCCAGCAGAGAGCGGCGGACCTCCTGACACAGGGGCCTGGGTACCAGGGTTCGCCGACGTTCTGCCCCCCTGGGCTTGGGGTCCGAAGGTGCGGCCGAGGCCAAGGCAGCGAGTGCGTGGGCGGGGACCCGTCGTGGGCGAAACACACGCGCACACACATCCGTACAGTGGAGACCCATGCCAAGAAACACCCTGCTTGCCTCCAGGGTGTCGTGGCTTTCTTGGGTTTCAATGGTGTCCCGATGGAAAGCGTGACGTTCCCACACCCAAAAATCGATGGACATCCTGGGGGCTCAAGGTTGGGTTTCTTCTGGAAGGTTTCTTGTGGTCGAGCTCCCACTGTATCCGCGAACTCGCTGGCCGGGCCCCCCTAGGCCGCGACCCCGCGGACACGGGCCGTTTGGTTCGCGGATGCCCCGCGCGGGGCGTCTCCGCGCGACCCCTCTGCCAGGCAGCGCCCGGCTGCCGACCCGGCCGTGGGCGCCGCGCACGGCGGCGGCTGGCGGGACCGACGGGGCCGCCAGAGGCACCCGGGCCGAGGCCAGGGCGCCTGGCAGGGCGGCGGCGCCGCAGCGCAGCCGCAGCCGACGCAGCTGCAGTAGGCGCTGGAGGACAGCGGGGCGCGGCGAAGCCGCGGCCGCTGCAGCACAGGGGGAGGGGGGGAGGGGTTCGGTTGCTCTGCGATGCGCGGCGGCGGCGCGCGTGCAGCTACAGTTGCACAGCCAGCATGGGCGCAGCGGCGGCGCGGCGCGGCCGCAGAGCAGTCTGCAGGGCCCTCAGATCCAGGCCTTGTGATAGAGATCTCGGCAGGGGTTCTCGCCCCAATGAGGGAGTCCTGCTCCAGATGTAGTGGATAGCTCTGGTCGTTTTTGTTGTGCGAAGTCGCGTGTTTATTCGTCATGACGCCGTGTCGTTGGGGAGGCAGCAAGGGCTGGTTGTGCCCCGGGTGTACTCGCTGTGGGCTGATGGGGGGTGAGGTGAGGGCAGGCAGGCCCCGTTTCGAGCTGCGGGTGTAGCAATCGAATAATAGCAATCGGCATGCACAGGAACTTGCGGAAGTCTGCTCTATGTTTTGTTGGTCGGCGCTGGAGCCCCCTGGCAGCGCCACCCCCAGTGCGCTTTGCCCGCCAGGGAGGCGGGTTCAGCGCGGATCCATGACATCTGCGCAGACATCCGACGGCTTACGCTTATGTCGGCGATTATGTTTCTAAGCATGCTGGAGACCGCCATACGTGAAATCAGCAGGTAGCATGATCAGTACAATGTCACGGCAGGCTACTTTTGACTGGATTGAGCCGCTCCTGATCATACTGTCATGCATTAGCGTATGTGTGTGAAGTGTGAGCAGCATGCCGGAGGGGTGCGCCTCAGATATTCAGCTGACATGTTCTTCGGCCTATCCAGGTTATGCACTCGACTATAGGTGGGTTTGAGTGAGGTATAAGCGTGCCATGGCGAGCATGCCATGCTGAATTCTGGCGGGCGTTACTATGAGGAGGAACTACGTCATACACCAATAAGTAGCATGCTTGAAAATTGAATGCATTCTTCATTCATGCTAACTGGTCATGCTTAGCTTTGCAAGCTCATACTTTTAGCATGCGCGTGTAGATGTGAGCTTGGTTACTCGGGTTGTCGGTTCTGTTGGCGCACGAACACTGTAACACGATGGCGTTGTCAAGGTTGGGAACGTCCGCTTCTGCAAATCCTTCTGCTTGCTCCCTCTACTCAGCAGTCGCATCGGCTCACGTTCCAATGAGAAACAGTTCTTCGCATAGGCCGAGGATTTCTGGTGCTGTGTATCCGTATCGCGCCGCTTGGTATTATGTGCCCTGGTGGCCGCCTCTCCATGTGCGTTGTCGCTTGGTGGCTCTTCTCTTTTGCACGTCCGCTGGCGGCATTCCGTGACGTCGGCGCCGACGTCCAGGGCGAGATCTCTGCCTTCTTGGAGCACAACGGTCTGGCGCGCGATTCCCCCAGCATCCCCGTGTTCGGCGCCAGTGATGGTCACGAAGGCACTGTTGGCAGCGCGCCGCCACCCGACCTGACGCGTGTTAAAAAAAAAGAACAAAACCTCTGGCGGCTCTTCCTGGCGGGGACGGGAATGGCTCTGCCGTTGGAGGTCGCCGCGACGTGATATTTCAACCCGGGGATCCTGGCATCCAATTCGATGAGACAGGGTACCTCTTTGGTGTAGTGTCAGGCTCGCAGGCGGAGGAAGCGGGCCTCGAAGTAGGAGAGCAATTGGTCGCTGTGAACGGCAAGTCCTTCAAATTTGGTGCTGTTTTGCGACTGTCCAGTGGGGACGTGCCGTACAAGTTGACAGTGGTCCCGCGCAGTGCGAGGGCGACAATGCTTGATAAGACGATACTTGTTTTGATCGCTCCTGCAAGTCTGATGGGCTTTCTCCTCCTGTTTGGCATGATTCCGTTCTGCCGTTCCCATCAGAGCATGGGGTCCGAATGGAAGGAAGATCTACTTGCAAGATTCGTGTCTGGCCCAGCCGCAATGGTGTGTACGGGAAGCTTGGCATGTGGCGTAGTGGCTGAGACGCTCTTGGATGCAAATGGTATTTCCATTGCGTGTGACGTAACGTACGCGATCTATTGTTTTGCAACTGTGCGCTGTCTCGTCTGCATTCTGGCGTGTCCACTGCTCGCATCTGAATTGCCCGAGAGTGCGTTGGCCAGGTGGGTCGTGGGATTAAGCCAGGGCCCCATGGAAGGAACGATTGAGGGACGGGGGGGATGGATGCAAACATATCTTGTGGCGCCGGGTGAGGGTCCAGATTTGTGCGCGCAGGTTTTGGGCACGCAATTGTCGTCGAGTGGCGATCTGCCTTGAAATTTTAAGATTGGGCCGAGGGGGGGGCCTGGAGAAGCAACATTGAGGCATGTTGGGCAGTGGGTTGGTGTTTTGTCAGCCCAGGTGGCGGTCAGAGAACAAAGGTGTGTGGCTGATTGTAACCATTGTCGTTCTGGTCCCAGTCATTCAACTGGGAGTTCACTGTGTTCATCGAAAACGCCTTCGGCGAATTACTGCATCCACGTCCCGTGTTGCACAGGCGGCGGCTACACATAGGGCCACGGAGCGACAACTCTACTGGATTACGTGCTTCCCGAGCCGTTGTGAAACATCCTAGGGGAGCATTGGGGGGCGACTGCTTGTCATTATGATGTCTACGAGGTCCTCTTGGGGGCCTCTGGGGCCGTGTTTGAGAGCATGCTTTTTTCCCAACATCCTAAGTGGGGTTTTTGTTTTCTCTGGACGGCCGCGGGCCACACACCCACACCCACACACACACACACCCACACCCAGTCACACACACATACACACACACATACACACACACACACACATCATCATCCTCGGGCATTCCATGCGAGCCCGCTCGCGCTGAAGGAACCTCCCCTGTGGCCCCTAGGGGGTCCCACCTGAAAGTTGGAATTCCAACGGCTATCGGCATCAGCGAGCCCGCTCGCACGGAATGACCCTCAGGGGCATTTGATGCGAGCCCGCTCGCGCGGAAGGGACTTCCCCTGTGGCCCCTAGGGGGTCCCACCTAAAAGTTGGAATTCCAACGGCTATCGGCAGCGGCGAGCCCGCTCGCACGGAATGACCTTCCAACGGCGATCGGCAGCAGCGAGCCCGCTCGAATGGAGTGACCTTCAGGGGCATTCCATGTGAGCCCGCTCGCGCGGAAGGGACCTCCCCTGTGGCCCCTAGGGGGTCCCACCGAAAAGTTGGAATTCCAACGGCTATCGGCAGCAGCGAGCCCGCTCGCACGGAATGACCCTCAGGGGCATTCCATGCGAGCCCGCTCGCGCGGAAGGGACCTCCCTTGTGGCGCCTAGGGGGTCCCACCTAAAAGTTGGAATTCCAACGGCTATCGGCAGCAGCGAGCCCGCTCGCACGGAATGGCCCTCAGGGGCATTCCATGCGAGCCCGCTCGCGCGGAAGGGACCTCCCTTGTGGCCCCTAGGGGGTCCCACCGAAAAGTTGGAATTCCAACGGCTATCGGCAGCAGCGAGCCCGCTCGCACGAAATGACTTTCAGGGACATTCCGTGTGAGCCCGCTCGCGCGGAAGGGACCTCCCCTGTGGCCCCTAGGGGGTCCCACCGAAAAGTTGGAATTCCAACGGCTATCGGCAGCGGCGAGCCCGCTCGCACGGAATGACCCTCAGGGGCATTCCATGCGAGCCCGCTCGCGCGGAAGGGACTTCCCCCGTGGCCCCTAGGGGGTCCCACCTAAAAGTTGGAATTCCAACGGCTATCGGCAGCAGCGAGCCCGCTCGCACGGAATGACCCTCAGGGGCATTCCATGCGAGCCCGCTCGCGCGGAAGGGACTTCCCTTGTGGCCCCCAGGGGGTCCCACCTAAAAGTTGGAATTCCAACGGCTATCGGCATCAGCCAGCCCGCTCGCACGGAATGGCCCTCAGGGGCATTCCATGCGAGCACGCTCGCGCGGAAGGGACCTCCCCTGAAGCCCCTAGGGGGTCCCACCTAAAAGTTGGATTTCCAATTGCTACCGGTAGCAGCGAGCCCGCTCGCACGGAATGATTTTTTTGCTGATGGAGACTGACCGCAAGCGAACCAGCCTTCGTTTGAAAAACCTCTAGCCAGCGCAGGGGACGCATTCGACCCGATCCCACGCACCGTGGGATGGGTCGCCGTCGTCCTCCTCTACGCTGGCAATGGGAAAGCCAGCAAGGCCGTCCCACAAGGCCAGATCGGCCTGGAAAGCGGGCGGCGGCGAGCACACCTGCCCCGTCCACCCCACCCCCACCCCCCCACTCCCAGTCCCGACCGAAGGAGAGAGAGCAGGCAGAGGCGGCAGTTCGGCCGACTCGAGCAGCCTGCGCTTCCGCAGCAAAATCGGAGGGCCCACGAACTCGCGGGACCGAAGCGGATGGCAGCCTCGCATGAGGTTGCGCAGCCTGTAGTACCTCGAGTCTCTCACGAGGACACCCTGCCTACGATTCATCGGCAAGCAATCCTGCGAAAGACCCTGGCTCTTCTTTTCCGAAAAAGCCCCGCACAGAGAGCAGAACAGGAAGGGCCCCGCGCGGTGAAGTGCGTGGGAGCTGGTCCTGTCGTCACAACGAAGCTGGCGAAGCACCGAGCGTGTCCTCGCTGACCGAAGGCACACCATGCATCGGAACCTTTGCGCAACCACCGTCACTGCAGGGTCGAAGCGCGAGTGCGGCTTCGGGGGACCGAGTCCCCCCTCAATCGTGCCTATGGCACGGCCGAGTATTTGCGCTTGAGCGTCCCGTGGCGTGATCGTGCCGATCCGAGCGACCAGCCTGGTACAGAACTGAGCAACTAGGCGGATGGCGCTGCGCGACGCGCCATGCGCAGAACGCAGCTGGAGGGAATCTCTATGCATGGCGGCACCCCATTTAGCCGACTGATCAGCTTGGGCATTGCCGACCCTCTGCCATTCTGAAATCCGTCCCTCTGCTACGGCAGAGGCAGGAGTATGTGCTTTGACGTGAGAAACCTCCACCGACTCACCCCCACGGTCAGACACAAGCCTCCAAACCTCCCTCCATAGTAAGGCAAGCGGGTCACTCGCAGCGGTGCCTGCTCCAACACCTTGGCGCCAGACATCCACGAGTGGCTTGCAATCCGTATAAAACTTCATCTGAGCTCCCATATAGCGCAGCGCCATCAAGAAACTGAAAAGCTCAGCCGCTGGCACAGATTGAATGAGACAGGGCAGAGGGCCATGGAGGCGAGCAACCACTCGCTTGCTGTCGTCAAGCGAACAGAGTCCCCATCCGCAGCGCCGTAAGCGAGAGAAACGTCCGTGCCTCCCCGACCCATCACCGAACACGTGCATATCGAGCAGCAAGTCGGGAGACCGCACCGTCCACACGACTCGCTCCTCGAGGCAGGGGCTCGGGAAGAGCCAAGCAGGGTCAGGGACAAGAAAGCGCGTGAAAAGCAAGGTATCCACCGCAGCAGCACGAGCCATGTCAAGCATTTGACCAGCCATGGCACTGCCAGCTCTGTAATCCCGACGAAACTCAGTATGCAGGGGGCAATCGTAGAATCGGTGCCAGGTAGATCCAGCACTCTGACAGGCAAGGCAGCTCGGGTTGACGGCTCCACCTGACTCGTACAGTCGCTCCTGCGACCAGAACCCTCCTGCAAAAAGGCACCGCAGAAGACCCTGATGCCTTGGGGTCCAGTCAGGGCCTCGGATAGAATGAGGCTGGAGGAGGGACCTCAGGGGCTCCACGAGAGGAGGATGAGGGCAGGGCGAGACCCACGAGGGATGCTTCGCGAGAACCTGTCGCCACACCCACCGCTCGGTGGCCTCATCAACTAACCTACCTCCATCCTTCGGGGAAATCTGTTCAATTGCGAGAGGACCTCGGTGGGTCTTCCAATGAAAAGGGTCAGATACAGACCAACCCAACCGCAAAAGTGTCGCAACTAGCGCAGAAGCAGGTCCGCGAATGTCAGACCAAACTTGAGACACAGGAACACTAGACAGGCGTGCCCATGCTCCACTCAGAAGTCGCGCCATATCTGCTCTGGGGGCCCATCCGTCCCACAGCGCCTGCAGCCAGAGGAAGATCGGGCTCCTGTTGCACTCGAAGGCGGGGTCGACCTGCGGCCCAGCAAGCATGAGGTCCAATGAGAGCGACCTGCCCGTGTGCCTGTAGACCATGCCCGCGCGCGCCAGCTGCCTCGCCCTCAGCAGGTGCGTGTTGCTGATGCCGTGAACTCCCACTGCCCAGAGCATACCAGGCTTGAGGCCAGTCTGCACCAGTTTGATCGTCTTGCCCCCAGCTTTCGCGAGCCGCTTATACCGAGGGATCCGAGACGCCATCCTGCCCAGCCGCTGTGCACGAACCGAATGAGAAAGCCGATTTCCACCGCCAAAGTCCAGCCCCAGGTTCCGAACCGAGCGTGTGAGGAACCTCGACGAGGACGGGTTGACTTTCCTAAACACCTTCCGTATGCCTTGGCCGATGACCACCTGGTGCTTCTTGGGCAGGGAGAGGGTCAAGCCGATCTGCGAAAGCTCAGCCGCCAAGAGGTCCTCGGCCCCCTTGAGTTCCCTGGCAACTTCCCACGCCTCGCCAATACGTTGCAACTGCAGATCATCCACCACGACCGCC